GCCCACCCCGTCCAGGAACGTCCGCATTTGCGCTCGGCGGGGGGCATATCGCCCATCTATCGTCTATGTATCGCCGATCCCCCGTCTGAGCCAGTCCCCCCCGAGGTGCGAGGAGGAGGAGGAGTCCGAGGAGGAATAGATGCGGCCGGGTCAATCCAGAAAGGGGGGGAGCAGGGAAAGGGGGGGGGGGGCTGCACAATAAGCTGGTCGCGGCCCCCGATACACGCCGGCGAGCAGTACAACGGAAAGCAACAAAACGAGTATGATGAGTACGATCGTTGCTTACATCACCACTACGCCCAGCACCTCGGAGAGTAGTACGACCGAGAGCAGCACCACGAGCACGACGAATACGACCGATACCAGCGGCACCACTACGCCCAGCACGGCGGAGAGAAGTACGACCGAGAGCAGCACCACGAGTACGACGAGTACGACCGGCACCAGCGACACCACTACGTCCAGCACGTCGGCGAGCAGTACGACCCAAAACAGCACCACGGCTATGACGAGCACGACTGCTACTGGCAGCACCACTACGCCCAGCACGTCGGTGAGTAGTACGACCGAGAGCAGCAAAACGAGTATGACGAGTACGACGGGTACTAGCGGCACCACTACGCCCAGCACGTCGGCGAGGAGTACGGCCGAAGGCAGCACCCCGAGCATGACGGGTACGACAGGAACCAGCGGCACCACTACGTCCAGCTTGTCGGCGAGCAGTACGACCGAGAGCAGCACCACGAGTACGACGAGTACGACGACTATCAGTGGCACAACTACGCCCAGCATAACTGAGAGTAATACGACCGAGGGCAGCACCATGAGTATGACGAATACGACGGATACCAGCGGCACCACTACGCCCAGCACGACGGGGAGCGGTTCGGCGGGGACAAGTGAGGCAGTGAGCGCAATATGTTGTTTTTCCTTCCTTGCCCATCCGGTGTGCACTGGCTGCTGTTTTTCCTGTTTTCCCTTTCCTTTCCTCCTTCCCTCCCTCCCCCCTCGTTCTCCGCTCGCCTCTCCTTCGTCGCTCTGTTGCATGGGAGGTATTATGTATAGTGTTCTTCGCACGCCTATGTGGCCTCTCCCTGGCCGCAGGCTGCCGACCCCGGGCTCCTGTGCCACGGGCTTGGTTCTCTGCCGCCGTTGGGGTTTCGGCTAATTCGGGGCGCCAGGGTGCCTCCGGCCCAAAACCTTTCGAAATTCCAACGCTTGTCTGTACAGGCCGCTGTCTTTTCAGTCGCGGTTCCTGCCTGTAGCTATTCTGGTATTTGCACATGGAGCCTGCTGGCTGTGATTGTGCTCCCCCTTTCCGCTTGCCTCCTTCCCTCTCCTCCTTTCTCCTCTTCCCTCTGAAATGCCATCGAGTTGCACTAGGTCGCCAGTTTTTTTTTCTCGTGATGCTGGCGGGATGGACGCGGAAATCTGCGGTCCAGTTCCTTGTGCTAAAGGCGTTGAACTGCGGGATAGGAACCAGGGTTTTGTTTCTATCGTTTTTTTGTCTAATTCCCCATATCCAAAGATGGGGTTCTTGTTATTGGCGGACCGCGCCGGAAGGACACAGGACAGAACACCACACCCACCACTCATCACTCAGACTCACCACTCAGATTCACTCATCATTCAGACTCACTCATGCTCTCTCATCACTCAGACTCAGTCATCACTCAGACTCAGGCGATTCGCTCGTCTCAGCAATCTAAGGGGGGCGGCGGGGGGGTATTTCACGGGGTCCCGTTCGCGGAATTTTGTGGGGATGTCTCAGGCGGTTTGGCCATTTTCTGATCCAACATGTTTCGTTTTCGGAGCAGATTTGGAGGATGTCTCAGGCGATTCGCTCGTCTCAGCACTCTAAGGGGGGCGGCGGGGGGGTATTTCACGGGGTCCCGTTCGCGGAATTTTGTGGGGATGTCTCGAGCGGTTTGCCTGTTTTCTGTGCCAGCATCCTTCGCTTTCGGAGCAGATTTGGAGGATGTCTCGAGCGAGGCGCTCATTTTCACCCCCCTGGTGGGCCAGATTTTGAGGATGTCTCGATCGGTTTGCTTGTTTTGGTGGCCAGGCTCGTGGGCGCATATTCTTCTCTGGATGCCACAGGAGGCTCCAACAGGCTCCAGGAGGCCCCAGGAGACATCATGAGGTCCCAGGAGGCATCAGGAGGCCACAGAAAGACTCAAGAGGCCACAGGATGTCCCAAGAGGCTCCAGGAGGCCCCAGGAAGCTCCGGACGGCCTCAGGAAACCACAGGAGGCCCCACGAGGCAACAGGAAGCGCCAGGAGGCCTCGGAAGGCAACAGGAGGCCCCGAGAGGCCCCAGGAGCAGGAGGCTTCAGAAGGCAACAGGAGTGGCTCCAATCCCATGTGTTTTACGTATGCTCCTATCGATTGGGCCTCACCTGGAGCACGAGTCTTTTGATGTTTTACGTATGTTTCTATAGATTGTCCTTCTCCTGTGTACACAACCCTACATATTTTACTAATGTTCCTATATATATATATATATATATATACATATATTGGGCCTCTCCTGGGGCACGAGTCCTTTGTGTTTGACGCGTGTTCCTATAGATTGCCCTTCTCCTGTGGCACGTATCCGCAATGGTTTATGTACGTCTGTTGCTATAGATTGCGCCTCTCCTGGGGCACGAAACCTCCCTAGGAGGTCCCAGGAGGCCCCAAGAAGCTCCTGGAGACCCCAGGAAACCCCAGTAGGTTTCAGGAGGCCCCAGGAGGCCCCAGGCTCATGCACAAAGACGCGTTCGTACTACTGAGGTTCATTCACACTCCAATTCATTCGCAGTTAGATTTATGTCCTGACCGTCACAACTGAAGCCCGTGTATATTCGAAAGCTCTTGCGCCTAGACACTCACGGCGGACAGGTCCATGCGAATAGATGCACTTCTTGTTCCCCATATCCAAAGATGGGGTTCTTGTTCCCCATATCCAAAGATTTATTCCCCATATCCAAAGATGGGGTTCTTGTTATTGGCGGACCGCGCCGGAAGGACACAGAACAGGACAGAACACCACACCCATCACTCACCACTCATCACTCAGACCCACCACTCAGATTCACTCATCACCCAGACTCACTCATGCTCTCTCATCACTCAGACTCAGTCATCACTCAGACTCAGGCGATTCGCTCGTCTCAGCAATCTAAGGGGGGCGGCGGGGGGGTATTTCACTGGGTCCCGTTCGCGGAATTTTGTGGGGATGTCTCAGGCGGTTTGGCCATTTTCTGATCCAACATGTTTCGTTTTCGGAGCAGATTTGGAGGATGTCTCAGGCGATTCGCTCGTCTCAGCACTCTAAGGGGGGCGGCGGGGGGGTATTTCACGGGGTCCCGTTCGCGGAATTTTGTGGGGATGTCTCGAGCGGTTTGCTTGTTTTCTGTGCCAGCATCTTTCGTTTTCGGAGCAGATTTGGAGGATGTCTCGAGCGAGGCGCTCATTTTGACCTCCCAGGTGGGCCAGATTTTGAGGATGTCTCGAGCGGTTTGCTTGTTTTGGTGGCCAGGCTCGTGGGCGCAGATTCTTCTCAGGATGCCACAGGAGGCTCCCACAGGCTCCAGGAGGCCCCAGGAGACCACATGAGGTCCCAGGAGGCATCAGGAGGCCACAGAAAGACTCAAGAGGCCACAGGATGTCCCAAGAGGCTCCAGGAGGCCCCAGGAAGCTCCAGAAGGCCTCAGGAAACCACAGGAGGCCCCAGGAGGCAACAGGAAGCGCCAGGAGGCCTCGGAAGGCAACAGGAGGCCCCGACAGGCCCCAGGAGCAAGAGGCCTCAGAAGGCAACAGGAGTGGCTCCAATCCCATGTGTTTTACGTATGCTCCTATCGATTGGGCCTCACCTGGAGCACGATTATTTGATGTTATACGTATGTTTCTATAACTTGTCCTTCCCCTGTGTACACAATCCTACATGTTTTGCTTATGTTCGTATATATTGGGCCTCTCCTGGGGCACGAGTCCTTGCTGCTTTACGTGTGTTCCTATAGATTGCCCTTCTCCTGTGGCTCTAATATCCGCAATGTTTTAGGTGTACGATTTCTGTTGCTATATATTGCGCCTCTCCTTGGGCACGAAACCTCCCCAGGAGGTCCCAGGAGGCCCCAAGAGGCTCCTGGAGACCCCAGGAAGCCCCAGTAGGTTTCAGGAGGCCCCAGGAGGCCCCAGGCTCATGCACAAAGACGCGCTCGTACTACTGAGGCTCATTCACACTCCAATTCATTCGCAATTAGATTTATGTCCAGACCGTCACAACTGAAGCCCGTGTATATTCGAAAGCTCTTGCGCCTAGACATTCACGGCGGACAGGTCCATGCGAATAGATGCACATATGGGGAGCTCCACGCAGTGAATAATTATTACGTAGACCGCGCGGAACGCGAGGGAGAGAGAGAGAGAGAGAGAGAGAACACACCTCCCATCCTCAGGTCATCATTCTCTGACTCACTCACATGTAGACTCATTCATGTTCAGACTCACTCATACTCAGATGCGCTCGCACTTAGATTCCTGATACTCAGGTTTCTCATGTTCGGGATCACTCATATGAAGACTCACTCACACTCCTGGTAATTCCGCACTCAGACTCACACACACACACACACACACACACACACACACACACACACACACACGTTTTGAGGATGTCTCAGGCGAGGCGCTGGTTTCAGCACTCCCAAGGGGGGCCGCCAGGGGGTATATCATGGGCCCGTTCGCGCCCAGATTGGGGGATGTCTCAGGCGGTGTGCCTGTTTCGGTGCACAACATCCTTCTCTTTCGGAGCAGTTTCCGAGGATGTCTCAGGCGAGGCGCTGGCGTCAGCACTCCCAAGGAGGGGCACCAAGGGGTATATCATGGGCCCGTTCGCGCCCAGATTGGGGGGATGTCTCAAGCGGTTTGCATGTGGTGGCCACATCTGAATACATTTACCAGTCCTGCTACCCTTCCACACCTCATCCTATTGATTATCATGCTTCTCTTCTTGCTCTCGCTTCTGGTTGGACATTCTGATCGCCATGCCGGAGAGTCACCCAATCGGTACGCCTAAAGATGGGAAGGCTCAGAAGCAACAGCGCCTCCGCAGCCCATTGCATGAAATGGATGACGACCTTCCCGTCGCGACTATGGCGCAAAGCTCAGACAGCGGTGCCGTGGTACCAAGGCGCTTGGTATATGCTGGCGTCGACGTGGAGCTACCGCCTCAGAACATCGAGAACCCCGAGGCCGCCGTCACAATGGGAGCTATGAACCAGCTGTTCCGCGACTACATGGCACCCATGATCAACATTACCCAGGCGCTTGGAAAAGATCTGGAAGACTTGAAATCAACAGTGGAATCTGGAATGGAGGAAATTGAAATACGCCGAACAAACTTGGATAACGATATCGAATATCTACGCGGGGAACTGCAGTAACCATTCCAGAATCAATCGAACAGCGGTTCCAAACAGTGGTACGGGAACTATCATGACTCCGACATATTACCACACCAAAGTCGATCCCAGCATCCACGGTCACCTGACAATCCACTACGACGACCCTCGTGACTTGGGGCCTTCCGCACGACACGCTATACGATGCTGATCGCTGGGTTGCAAAAGTCCTCACAAAAGCTCAATGCGAAATGCCCCTGAAGACTTACAAGAAAGGCCCCCCAGCAGAGCCTCTCAAAGGTATGCTTTTCTCCGAGTTCAAATCCCAAGACTCGTCAGACAACGCACTCCCGATTCTTCAAGCAGCATGCGAAACGCTAAAGCCAAAAGAAAGGAGCCGTCGCGTTTGGTGCGGCGCAGACGCTCCAATCGAGCAGAAGACCGCCACTTCAAAGTTGTTGGGGCTTCGGTATTTCCATGCGCAATGGGGATTCGACAAATTAGCCTGACGAAGGACCCAACCATATGCAGGTGCGAGTGCCGCAATAGTGATTCACTTTTTTGGTGGCAATCCCTATGCGGCAACGAACCGTGCTAGGGTGTGCCGACATGAGTGGCGTGGTACACAACGCGAACGAAAACGACTGATCTGAGTACGCAGGGAGACTGAACGCGGGTGAATCTGCGCGCGTGCGTCTGCCTGTGAAAGAATCTGCGTGCGAGCGAGTCTACGTGCATGAATGAGAATATGACAAAGCGTGGTGCAGTTGTGTATGAATGACAATAGTTTGACAATGGCTGCCTCTGAGTACTCGTGACGCTGGGCGTGGCCGCCGCAAGGAGCTCCCCCGGGACTCCCCGACGGCATCGCCCGCGCGCCGCGACGCCAATGTCGGCGCGCCCCCCCGCGACGATCGCGCCCGCTTCCTCCCCTTCCTTTACTCCCTCTTTGCCCGCGCACTCAAAAGTCCAAGGCTGCGGGCGCAGCGCGGCGCGGAGTCGCCGCGACGCGCGCAGGTCGCCCCGGAGGGGTCCCAGCGACGCGCGCGGGTCGAGCACTGCGCGGAGCAAAGAGAGCTAGCTGGCTGGCTGATAGCGGGCAAGGCTCTTGCCGCTGGGCAGAGCGACGACGGGCGAGCGAGGGGCTGGGCAGAACGCAGCACGGAGCCCCCGCGACGCGCGCAGGTCGCCCCGGAGGGGTCCCAGCGACGCGCGCGGGTCGTCCGCTGCGCGGAGCAAAGAGAGCTAGCTGGCTGGCTGGGACCTGCGGTGGAGCTCCATATGGGGCCACGTAACGCTGTACTGGGCAAGGGAGACGCATGCGGACTGCGCCACGGGGACCTTCGGTGGAGTTCCCTATGGGGCCACGAAACGTGTGAGGGGTGTGCCGACGTGAATGGCGGGGACGCATGCGGACTGTGCCACTGGGACCTTCGGCGGAGCTCCTGTGGAGCCACGAAACGTGTGAGGGGTGTGCCGAAATGAATGGCGGGGACGCATGCGGACTGCGCCACGGGGACCGTCGGTGGAGTTCCTGTGGGGCCACGAAACGTGTGAGGGGTGTGCCGAAATGACTGGCGGTAACGCATGCGGACTGTGCCACTGGGACCTTCGGCGGAGCTCCTGTGGGGCCACGAAACGTGCGAGGGGTGTGCCGACATGAATGGCGGGAACGCATGCAGACTGTGCCAATGGGACCTTCGGCGGAGATCCTGTGGGGCCACGAAACGTGTGAGGGGTGTGCCGACATGAGTGGCGGGGACGCATGCGGACTGTTCCACTGGAACCTTCGGCGGATACCCTATGGGGCAACGAAACGTGTGAGGGGTGTGCCGAAATGAATGGCGGGGGCGCATGCGGACTGTGCCACTGGACCTTTGGCAGAGCGCCTATCGGGCCACGAAAGGTGTGAGGGGAGGGCCGAAATTACACACCCACAAGGACCCTCGGTGGAGCTCCCTATGGGGCCAAGAAGCGGGTGAGGGGTGTACCGAAATGGGTGTGCGGGACGCATGCGCACACACACCCACTGAGACCTTCGGTGGAGCTCCCTATGGGGCCACGAAGTGTGTGTGAAGGGTGTGCCAAAATGGGTGTGCGGGACGCATGCGGGCACACCCACTGGGACCTTCGGTTGGGCTCCCTATGAGGCCACGAAACGTGCGAAGGGTGTGCCGAAATGGGTGTGCGGGACGCATGCGGGCACACCCACTGGGACCTTCGGTGGAACTCCCTATGGGGCCACGAAACGTGTGAGGGGTGTGCCGAAATGGGTGTGCGGGACGCATGCGGGCACACCCACTGGGACCTTCGGTTGGGCTCCGTATGGGGCCGCGGAACGTGTGAGGAATGTACCGAAATGGGTGCGGGACGCAGCGGGCACACCCACTGGGACCTTCGGTGGAGCTCCTTATGGGGCCACGAAACGTGTGAAGGGTGTACCGAAATGGGTGTGCGGGACGCATGCGGGCACACCCACTGGGACCTTCGGTGGAGCTCCCTATGGGGCCACGAAAACGAGCTAAGGGTGGCCGAAATGTTGGCGGGGAACGCAAAAAATGCGGCACACCCACTGGGACCATTTCGGAGGGAGCTCCCTATGGGGCCACCGAAACGTGTGAGGGTGTGCCGATGAATGGTGAGCGGTGCGACGCAAGCGGGCAGTCGCACTGGACCTCGGTGGAGCTCCCTATTGAGCCACGAAACATGTAAAGGGGAGCCAAAATGTTGTGTGGCGGTACGCAGCGGGCACACCCACGGGAACAATCGGTGGAGCTCCCTAAGGGCCACGAAACGTGTGAGGGGTGTGCCAGAATGGGGGGTGGAACCGCATGCGGGCGCAGCCACTGGGGCCTTCGGTGGAGCTCCCTATGGGGCCACGAAACGTGTGAGGGGTGTGCCAGAATGGGGGGTGGAACCGCATGCGGGCGCAGCCACTGGGGCCTTCGGTGGAGCTCCCTATGGGTCCACGAAACGTGTGAGGGGTGTGCCAGTATGGGGGGTGGAACCGCATGCGGGCGCAGCCACTGGGGCCTTCGGTGGAGCTCCCTATGGGGCCACGAAACGTGTGAGGGGTCTGCCGGAATGGGGGGTGGAACCGCATGCGGGCGCAGCCACTGGGGCCTTCGGTGGAGCTCCCTATGGGGCCACGAAACGAGTGAGGGGTGTGCCAGAATGGGGGGTGGAACCGCATGCGGGCGCAGCCACTGGGGCCTTCGGTGGAGCTCCCTATGGGGCCACGAAACGTGTGAGGGGTGTGCCGAAATGGGTGTGCGGGACGCTTGCGGGCACACCCACTGGGACCTTCGGTGGAGTTCCCTATGGGGCCACGAATAGTGTGAAGGGTGTGCCAAAATGGGTGTGCGGGACGCATTTCGGTGCAACCACAGGTACCGCAACTTTGGAGCCCCTTGTCCACGAAACGTTGAGGGGTGTTTCAATGCAAGTCCTAAGCTAATGATAGAAATGGTGGGTTGAGGAGAGGAGGAGTAGGAGGAGGAGGAGGAGGAGAGGAGGAGGAGAGGAGGAGGAGGAGAGGAGGAGAGGAGGAGAGGAGACGCGGGCCACCGTCTCTTCAAAACGAGGACCCAACACCACAAGATGGTTGGGAAAAAATCGCGAAGGTCGACGGCGACGCCGGAATACTGGAAGTTGGAGGGAAGGGAGTATTAAAAATGACTGTGGTAAATTACAAACAAGAAGTACTCTGGTTGGATACCGACTGGGAGGTTTGGGCAGAAATGCAAAAGGCACCATCATGGGATGACTTGCAAAAGAAAGCCACGGAGCGCCTGGATAGGAGTGCGGCCAGCTCACCGAAGGGGGTGGGAAAAGGCAAAAATTAGCCTGACGAGGGACCCAACCATATGCAGGTGCGAGTACCGCAATAGTGATTCATTTTTTCGGTGGCGATCCCTATGAGGCAACGAACCGTGCTAGGGGCGTGCCGACATGAGTGGCGTGGTACACAAAGTGAACGAAAACGATTGATCTGAGTACGTAGGGAGACTGAGCGCGGGTGAATCTGCGCGCGTGCGTCTGACTGTGAATGTTCTGCGTGCGAGCGAGTCTACGTGCATGAATGCGAATATGACAAAGCGTGGTGCAAATGTGTATGAATGCCAATAGTTTGACAACGACTGCCTCTGAATACTCGTGACTCTGGGCGTGGCCGCCGCAAGGAGCTTCCCCGGGACTCCCCGACGGCATCGCCCGCGCGCCGCGACGCCAATGTCGGCGCGCCCCCCCGCGAGGATCGCGCCCGCTTCCTCCCCTTCCTTACTCCCTCTTTGCCCGCGCACTCAAAAGTCCAAGGCTGCGGGAGCAGCGCAGCGCGGAGCCCCCGCGACGCGCGCAGGTCACCCCGGAGGGGTCCCAGCGACGCGCGCGGGTCGTCCACTGCGCGGAGCGAAGAGAGCTAGCTGGCTGGCTGATAGCGGGCAAGGCTCTTGCCGCTGGGCAGAGCGACGACGGGCGAGCGACGCGCTGGGCGGAACGCAGCACGGAGCCCCCGCGACGCGCGCAGGTCGCCCCGGAGGAGTCCCAGCGACGCGCGCGGGTCGCCCGCTGCGCGGAGCAAAGAGAGCTAGCTGGCTGGCTGGGACCTGCGGTGGGGCTCCATATGGGGCCACGTAACGCTGTACTGGCAAAGGAGACGCATGTGGACTGCGCCACGGGGACCTTCGGTGGAGCTCCCTATGGGGCCACGAAACGTGTGAGGGGTGTGCCGAAATGGGTGTGCGGGACGCAAGCGGGCACACCCACTGGGACCTTCGGTGGAGCTCCCTATGGGGCCACGAAACGGGTGAAGGGTTGGTACGACATGTGTGTGCGGGGTGTGCGGGTCGCATGCGGGCACACCCACTGGGACCTTTTGTGGAGTTCCCTATGGGGCCACGAAATGTGTGAGGGGTGTGCCGAAATGGGTGTGCGGGACGCAAGCGGGCACACCCACTGGGACCTTCGGTGGAGCTCCCTATGGGGCCACGAAACGTGTCAGGGGTGTGCCGAAATGGGTGTGCGGGACGCAAGCGGGAGGAGCCCCACGGGGACCTTCGGTGGAGCTCCCTATGGGGCCACGAAACGTGTGAGGGATGTGCCGGAATGGGTGTGCGGGACGCATGCGGGCACACCCCCTGAGACCTTCGGTGGAGCTCCCTATGGGGCCACGAAACGTGTGAGGGGTGGGACGACATGTGTGTGCGGGACGCATGCGGGCACACCCACTGGGACCTTCGGTGGAGTTCCCTATGGGGCCACGAATAGTGTGAAGGGTGTGCCAAAATGGGTGTGCGGGACGCATGCGGGCACACCCACTGGGACCTTCGGTGGAGCTCCCTATGGGGCCACGAAACGTGTGAGGGGTGTGCCGAAATGGGTGTGCGGGACGCATGCGGACAGCAGCACTGGGGCCTTCGGTGGAGCTCCCTGTGGGGCCACGAAACGTGTGAGGGGGTGCCGAAATGGGTGTGCGGGACGCATGCGGAAGAGCACTGGGAC